TCTTTCTTCACAGATAGTGTAACAGCTTCAGGCCAGCAACATCTAAGTCTTCCTAATTATTTGAAAGATTGGAAATCAGTGAAATGTTGCTATTCATACCAGAGTTTCAGGAATTAGTTAAATTATTAGAACTAGAAGGAGTATGAGGCTTCAGGGAAAAGACCAGTCCTAAATAGGTATCAGAGAGAGCACCCAAGAGAGGGCTAAGAATGTACTCATATGATCAATTGGGGAGAGAAAAGGCAAGAAAGTTTAAGTTAAACCATAGAAATTTTCAGATTTTATGGATCAAAAACAGTCAAATAATGATGACTTCAGATGGCTCAGCCTAATACACAAGTGATCAAAAAGAGAACCCATATGCTAATGTAGATAGGTGTGGGTATGTTGTCTATACTGAACTTAACAGATGAGAAATTCTGTTAGTGAATTAACTTAATTTCAAATGAAATTACAATTTAAAGGTAGGCAGATGGTATAATACCTTCAGAAACTAAAGATACTCCAAAATTTTTGAATTTATGTAACTATTATTACTCATATTTCATGAGTGTGAATATAGTAGGGAAATTTCTATTTTATAGCCAAAGCTTTAATGATGGTGTGAAGTGAGGTTAACGAAGAATATTTCACTTTCAGCCTTTTTCTACACTGACTGAGGGATTATTTCCTCATCTTTTACAGTTCCTCCTACTCTTAGTCCCAATGCCAACAGTCTCCAAGTTTATCTTAGAAAAATCAAGAGAAAGTAGAAAGAGTGCTAATAGTTGTGAAAATGAATTAAGTGCCAGGTGCTTTGCTAGACAGTTTATACATTATTGCATTCAATTCTCACATAACCCTGTAAGACAAATATTATTTCTATTTTACAGTAGAGGAAACTGAGGCCTACAGAGATTAATTTTCACAAGGGCACATAGTTGGTGGATGACAGAGCTGGGATTCAAGTGTTCTTATTTCAGTTTCTTATTTGATTCTTTATATCCCAAAACTTTCAGAGAACCTTATTTAATTATAATAAGTTCACATAGAAGTAAGATAAGGAGATTATAATTGGTTTTTTTCTTTACAATAAAAATATGGTAAAATGCATTTGAATCTTTTTCTTTTAAGGATGAACGTGAAGCCAGAGAAAACATGAAGAGAGAGCAAGATGAGGCCTATCGCCTCTCACTTGAGGCTGACAGAGCAAAGGTAGGTTTGGTCAAGGTAGTTCTGGAATAAAGAACTCAATCCTAAACAGTCTCTCAATCAATCCAAAACAGTCAATTCAGTTCTTTTTCAAAATGAGATAAAATCAGCCCTTTTATCACTTAACTCTTAAAATATTGAGTTTGTAATAAAGAAGAATACTATTAAGTCATCAAGAAAGTCATAATGTACTTTTTTCTATGCAAAATTATGTCTTGACTTTCCCAGTGACGCAATAGATTCAATTAACAGAAAGAATATAATCCTAACCATGATACTTAAAGCTTGATTCATTTTGATGAAATTGAATGTGTTGAAAATCATGAAAAATAAACAGAAATGAACCTGATATCTATTTTATTTGTTCTTCAATTGGTCTGTGATAACACTCAACATTTTTTTGTTTGTTTGTTTCTAGACAGGTTTTTGCTATTTGGTGCATGTGCTTGCCAGAGAGACAGAGAAAAGCAGAGAGACAGAAAGTGAGAAATCACCTCCCATAGGGCATGACCATGTACAATTCCTTCTCATCTGTTCTCCTCTTGGGATTTTGGGTGCACACACAGGGCCCGACATGAGGTTTAAGCTGCAAGGTCTGGGACTTGAACCATGGTCGACCACATGGAAGTTCAGCAACATAACCATTACACCATCTGCTGATCCCACAGTCAACAGTTTTTAAAAGCTCTTTAGGTGAGGCCAGCTGGTTATGTGGTTAAAGCACCTGTATCCCACATGGTCAACTGTTCTATTCAAGCACCATACCCAGTGGCTTGAAAAACGCTGGTTCATGTGCATGCATGCCCAAAATCCCAAGAGGAGAATGGAGAAGGGATTGTGGCATGACCATCCCTCCTAGGGGGTGTTTTCTCACTTTCCCTCTCTTTTTCTCTCTGTCTCACTCCAGTGGGCACATGTGCCCTATAGCAAATTAAAAAGGAAAAAATAGATAAAAGCTTTTTAGGTGATTCTAATGTGCAGTCAATGTTGAGAATCATTATTACTTAATGATTCTTGAGCACCTGCTTCTGTGTTCAGCATTTTAAAAGGAGAGGAAGATGAGTAAGCCACACTTATACTTTCTTTTTTTTTTTTTGGAGAGGTTTTTGCCATAGGGCACGTGCGCTTGCCAGACAGACAGAGAGATAGAAAGCGAGAAATCACCTCCCAGGGGGGATGGCCATGCCACAATCCCTTCTCCTCTAGGGATCTTGGGCACACACGCACACACACCCGGCATGAGTTTAAGCCACCAGGTCTGGGACGCGAACCGCGGTCGACTACGTGGGAGTCCAGCGACATAGCCATTACGCTACCTGCTGGTCCCAGCCACAGCTTATACTTTCAAAGGAAAGCACACAATGTGATAGAGTAGATTAAAGCAGGAACACAGATAACTGTAACGTAAGGCAAGGATCCTAAGTGCCACAAGGGAAACACTGAGTTTTGTGAAAGTTCAATGAGCAAGAGTTTCAGTGAAAATTTTTTTCAGCTCTTTTTGGAGAGCTAAGAAGTAACAATCTATTAATAATATGTAATGTTTCATAGAAGATGTAATGTATGTGAACTGGACAAAGAGGAATTAGTAGGGAAGAGGAAGTAATATAAGTGAGTGTCAAGAGGTCACAGAGCCTGGCGGGATGGATTAAAGCTGGTATGAATAAGCCTTGAGATTTGAGTGTAGAAAGAAGATGGCAGAAGAGCCGGAAATAAAGACCAAATAAAGGTCCTGAAGGATCTTGAATGCCACATTACCCAAAACTATTAAAGGTGTTTGAATAGGAGCATAACATATTAGAGAACTAGCTATGCTTTGTTGTCACTTTCATTTCTACTCTTGTTTTAAATAGAAACATTTCCATTACCATATTATACCTCTGGGTCTTGTTGGGAATGGACCTTTTAAATGTACTTGGCTCTTTTTTTCTTTTTTTTCCCTTTGAGTAAATAAGTATTTATTGAATATTTGCTCTCTTTCTATTTCATCAACAGAGGGAAGCTCATGAGAGAGAGATGGCAGAACAGTTTCGTTTGGAGCAGATTCGCAAAGAACAAGAAGAGGAGCGTGAGGTAGGGCATAATTTTTAGAAAAGTTACTCAAAAGCTGCATTTTATTTATTCCTAAGACTGTTAACATTTCTTACAACTTATTTCTTTCTACTTTTCCAAGATCTATTTTATTGGGTCATCCGAAAAGTCGCAATGCATTTTTCTATGCAAAAAAAAAGTTGTGACTTTCTGGATGACCCAATAATATGGAAGACCCAACCTTGCCTTAAAACAGTCATTCCTGATTTGTTGTATAGAATTCTTAGAAAACTTGCAATAGATTTTATGGTTTTCTATTATCTTCAGTTTCTTCCCCTTTTTTGTTACGTAATCAGCATGTTCCATCCTTCTGAGATATTACCTCATCCCAAGAATAGAAAGATGGTATTTTTTGTCCCTTCCTCAGACTTCATTCACCAAAAGGTATTGTGAGTTACTTCTCAGCATCTTACCTTGGATCCCTAAAAATGGAAAATCCATTTAACTCAGATGTTATTTTTCCCTCTGAGTTTATGTTGTATCTATACCAGTAGAAGAATTGTTTTTATTCACTCATCTTGCAAACATTTTTTGTGTACTTACTGCGTATCCCAAATCTGTTTAGGGGATGGTGATGCAGACATGGATCTTGTCCTCCAGAGGTTTATAGTCTTGTAAAAATAGAGCTATAATGCTATATGTTTAAGATACGGAGGGAGACCAACAGATGTCATAATGGTTACACTGCTGGACTCCCATGTAATCGACTGCAGTTTGAACCCCGAACAGAGTCACTTAAAACTCATGCCAAGTACGTGTACATGCATGCCCAAAATTCTGAGAGGAGAAAGGAGAAGGGATTGCAGCATAGCCATCCCCCAAGGGGGTGATTTCTCACCTTCTGTCTTTCTGTCTTTCTCTTCCTCTCCAGCAAGTGCACACACCCTATAGCAAAAAATCTACTAAAAAAAAAAAAAAAAAGATATTGCAAAGGTATGCCTAAGGTACTGTGAAAACAAAGAGAAGAATCATCACCTTCCTAGGATGGCTTCAGAAAGGGCTTTTAGAACATTTTTTTAGATAGGGGATTAATGGCAAGGTTCACTTGGCAAAAGAGAGGTCATCTAACAAATGACAGAAGGACTTGGAGGGTCCTAACTGGGGCTTAGAGAAAGGTCATTAATCATAATTTTTGGTCAAGGATACTCTCTCTTTTGCTTATTCAACACAGCCTTTACTTTTTTAATTATATGAAATTTATTCTTCCCTTTATTTTATTTTTTTTTACATTCAGTCATTGTTTATCTTTACAACATACAAAATGAATTTTCCCAGCATGAATATACTGTGTATTTGTCAAAGATATTACTACACACATTATTATCAGCAGATAATTTTCCATTTTTGTGTCTGTTAAATGTTTTGCTTTTCTTTCCCCTTGATTCTCTCTCCCTTCTAGCCCCTTATTACCCATCCTCCTCCCACACTGTCTCTAGTATTCACAGTTGCTCTCCTTGATTTTATACCTTCTAATCTTTCAGCTTCTTCCATAGAGTGCAGACATTAGGTATATATGAAATGGGGACATACAGTGCCTCTCTTTCATAGTCTGGCTTGTTTCACTTTGCATTAAGTCTTCTAAATTTGTCCACTTTCTATCAAATGCCAGGGTTTCATTTTTTATGGCTGAGTAGTATTCCATAGTGTATATGTGCCACACTTTTTCACCTCATTCATCTATTCTTGGACATTTGGGTTGATTCTGTGTCTTAGCAATTGTGAATAATGCTGCAATGAACATGAATATACAAGTGTTTTTCAATTAGCAATAATCGTGCCTTGGATAAACCTCATTGGCTACGATACTGCCACTGCGCAAAGCTTACAAGTGTTTTTCAAAATGAGTGTAGTCCTATCCTTTGGGTAGATACCCTTGAGTGGAATTGCTGGATCATGTAGTAGTTCTATAATATTCATAAGTCTTTAAGGAACCCCCTTACTGTTCTCTACAGTGGCTGTCCTAATTCACATTCCCACCAACAATGTGGGAAAATTCCCTTTTTACTGCAGCCTCTCCAGCACTTACTATTCCTTTTTTTAACCTTTTTTTTTTTTTTTTAATCTTAGCCATTCTGCCTGGGGTTAGGTAGCATCTCATTGTGATTTTGATTTGTATTCCCTTATAAGGAATGTTGAACATTTTTTTCATATGCTTTTTGGCTGTTCATATATCTTCCTTGAAAAGTTGTCTTTTCAGCTCATTTTCCCACCTTTTAATTAGGTTTATTGATTTTTTTTTTTTTTAGGATTAGCTACATGAATTTTCTGTATATTTTGATTATCAATTCCTTATCTGAGGGAGAGTTTGTAAAAGTATTCTCCCATTCCAAGGGTTGTTTCTTCACTCTTAATTATTGTTTCTTTTGCTGTGCAGAGCTTTTTTACCTGATGCAATCCCACTTGTCTATTTCTGGGATTATTGCCTGTACTTTGGGGGATCTTAGATCAAATTACCAAAGATATTCTTCACAGCATTAGAAAAAAAATTATACAATTTGTCTGGAATCACAAAAGGCCCTATATTGCCAATGCAATACTGCACAAAAACAATAAATTAAGAGGCCTCTTACTCCTGATCCCAAGGTATATTACAAAGCTGTGATAATCAAAACAACATAGTACTGGCACAAAAACAGACATGCAAACAAGTGGAATAGAATACTGAGAAATAAACCCAAAAACATACTGCCAACTGATTTTTTACAAAGGGTATATGACCTTTGTAAAGGGGTAGGGGGTGGAATCTCTCCTGCAGATGGTGTTGGAACACATCTTTTTTTTTTTTTTTTTTTTTTTTGTGAACACCTCTTTTTTTTTTTTTTTTTTTTTTTTTACAAGAATCATGCTGAGTGCTACAAGAGAAATAAAGGATTATAAAATGTTTTCTGCCTGCAAGAAGAGATAATATTTTGGTGGGAAAATATAACATGTCTACAAGTAACATTAAATCAAATAAAAGTTTGCAAATTGGTGTACAAGCAAAATACTTGTGGAGTTCAGGGTCAAAGTAAGTCCTTTAGAGCTTTGACAATCAGACAACATGTTAATAAAATATTATTTGAGCCAGGTCTCCAGAGATGTTTGGAATTTCACTATCTGAAAAATCAAAATTTATTCATGTTCAAACATTGAGTTCCTATGACATATGTTCAAGAAACTGTGCCTGATAAACTTAGTTTCTGTAATCTGAGAATGCTCAGTAATGGAAGGTAAAATGTATTCTGTTAAGCATCTTCTGTGCATCAAGTACTCTGGTAGCTGCTTTGTATTCTTACTAATTAACCATTAAAACAAGCTACAGGGTTAGAGATCTCTCTTTACAGTGAGAAAAAAATTGAACCTCATTGAAGAGTCACATATTAAAATGGGAGCAACTGTGATTCTCACCTAGGTCCTTATGATTACAAAACTCAGGCTTTTTCTCATGCTCCATCTTAGCAGAAGGTCTTTCATCATTTTATGTGACTCTAGAAGTCATGTATTGCAGAATTTCACAAAACTTTAGATAATGGAGAGGCTAATCTCTTCTTTTAGGTTATTTCGAGAATGACAGTTTAAACAGGATTTTTACTCATTCACGCTCTCTTTCACACATGTTCTCTCCCACTTGATAGTGTATCTTTGGGTCTGGTGGTTAAGGCATCTGGATCCCAGTTCAAGTCCTGGACTGAGCAGCTTGAAAAACATGCAAGGCATAAATGTGTACATGCATGCCAAAAGTCCCCAAAGGAAGAAGAGATAGAAGAGGAGTTGTGATGTAACCATTCCCCATGGGAATGCTTGCTACTTTTCCCCTCTGTCTCTAGTGAGTGCAATTGCTCTCTGGAAAAAAAGAAAAAAGAATAGTATATGTTTAAACGTACTTGTTTGCTGAAATGTCAAGAGCACATAATTAATTATGTGTTTTGAATCTAGAGCTTGATAGCATATGTACTTCTGATGATTTATCTAATTTATCCTGGGCTAAAATTCATTGTCTTCCAAATATAGATAAAGCCTGTTTTTAAATAGAAGATTCTATAAATACCTTTAAATATAATTCAGTATATATGCTCCAACTTTTTTTGTGGGGGTGGAGGTTTTTTGTTTTTTTTTGGGTTTTTTTTTGTTTTTTTTATTTTATTTTTTGCTATAGGGCGCGTGCACTCGCCAGAAAGACAGAGAGACAGAAAATGAGAAATCAACCCCCAGGGGGGATGGCCATGCCGCAATCCCTTCTCCTCCATTCTCCTCTTGGGATCTTGGGCACACACGCACACGCCCGGCGTGAGTTTAAGCCACCGGGTCCGGGATTCGAACCATGGTTGACAACGTGGGAGTCCAGTGACATAGCCATTACACTAACTACTGGTCCAACTTTAACATATGAGAGCATAGAGCACAGGAGGAGTGAGAGCAGATGGATTTTTGTAACTAGTCATTACTTACATTTGTCATTGATGGACTCACATAAAATGCAAGTTTGGATAATATTATGGGCTCTACCCTCCCTCATCCAAAAGTCACAATTAAAAGTTCTTATAGGGGCCAGTAGGTGGCATAGTGGTTAAGGTGCTGGACTCCCACATGGCCAACCATGGTTTGAGTCCTTGACCCATTGGCTTGAAACTCATGCTGAGCATGTGTGTGTGTACCCAAAATCCCAGGAGGAGAACAGAAGAGAAAGGATTATGGTATGGCCATCCACGTGGGATGGGGGTGATTTCCTTCCTTCCCTCTCTCTGTGCCTCTCTCTGTCTCTGTCCAGTGAATGCATATACCCTATGGCAAAAACCTTAAGGGAAAAAAAAAAAAAAAAAAATAAATCCCACCTTTAAGAAATGGTTTATCAGGGTCAGTAGGTGGTGTGGTGGTGAAAGCACTGGATTTCTACATGGCTGACCATAATTTGAGTCCTGGATCTGGTGGCTTAAAAATCACAACAAATACATAGATAGATGAGAGAGAGAGAAGAGGGGGGGAGGGAAGGAGGGAGGGAGGGAGGGAGGGAGGTGTTTGTTTGTTTTAAAGAATTGGTTTATCTTATTTTAATCCATTCTTATCCAAATCTAACTGACCTTTTTTTAATGGAAACACCAATTAACTTATTTCAGCACACAATTCTACCACAAATCATTCTTTGGGAAATGCTAATATTGTGCAACCTCAGAAGAAACTGAGACCCAGAAAGATTATACAGTTTGCCTATAGTCACCAAACTGGTTGAACATATAATCTTCATCAGAAGCCAGGTCACCTGACTTTTCACAGTAATACCACCTCCTTTATAACTAGAAATACTACCCATATAGTAATACTGAGAAAGAAGAGTCACTTTATTATTTTTATCGTCTCCTGTATTTTAAAATTCTTTAGAAAAGTAAAGTATTGTGTAGTCAGCCTCCTTGTTAATAGGGAAATTCCTTGGTGTTTGGTCTCATTTTGCTGTTTATAACTATTAGAATAAAATCAGTAAAATCTAGAAAGATACATTGATCTGATTCTTGGCCATGGTAAGAAAAAAGGCTATAATACCATTCAAAGAAAACTGAAGAAATGAGCAAAGATCTCTCCTGTTTTACTAACTTCTATTCTTACTCTTTCTAAAATCAGTGTCAAATGACTTACATAAATACATGCAATTCAGAGGGATTAAAAAGAAAGGGAAAATAAAGGAAGCTAAGGCCAGAGGAAAGAGTCACATGTTGACAACAGGTAATCAAGTACAGGAACTGAATACGTATAATAGGGTCTGTGCATTTGCTCAAAATGAGCCATAGAGTTTGCTGTATACTTCTCTTGGGCCAAAATTAAATGAAAAGATAATATTTTATAAATTTCACTTTGTGTATTACATCAGATAAAGGCCAGTCTCTCAGGATGTGCTAGACTTTTCTAGCACTGAGATCTTAGAGCAATGCTTTTTGTGGTTCTCTTCAGCTGGAGATGTGGTCAATGATGTGGTCAGTGCTATTCCCAGCTATCAGCATATCTAACAACTACAATAGTCATAAGTCCAAAGCACAAATTAGTAAAATCATTTCTGCAAAGGCCCCAATAATACATTTTCTAGCAGTACAGTTCAAATAGTGGCTGTTATAGTAACTAGAGAAATGTGCAAACTGTATTTTCATCAAGAAATTCTTCCTGAATATTGCTTTTTGCCATTCAGTTTTTGGTAAATAGAGAAGGTTTCAGCTAAAGTTTTTGACTTTCAAGTCTTTTATTCAGTCTACATTCAGCGAATATGCAATCATCTTTATCTATGTGTAAATCATTAAATCAGGTGCCGTTGATACTGTGTTATATGTGTAAAACATAGCCCAGCCCTCGAGGAGATGCAGAAGGATAGACAAGTACAAAATAATACAGAAAAAGATAGTATGTGTAATATTAGGTCATCAGGAAGGTCATGATGTATTTTTCTATGCAAAAATGCATCATGATTTTTCAGGCAACCCAATAAAAGCAATTAAAGTAGCAGAGAATACTGAGGATTTCTGAGGAAAGGAGATGATTTTTAACTAGGAAGGCAACAGAAAGAGGAGGCTCTGGAGGTTGGTAGGGCTTTGATGATTAAAGGTGTAGAGGACTGGCTGGTTGACAGGTGGCTGGATGGAGGGCAAAAGGAAGGGTATAGGTTGGGTAATCATGAGCAATCGATGAAAGGCATAGGATCTGCCCTAGGAACAGTACATGGACAAATTTAGAACACAGTATAGTAATTAGGGCTATAGCTAAAAGGGACAAATTTTGGAGAATCATAGGTGGTAGTGGATGGGCACAAAGTTATTCCCTTTTGCTAATGGTTACCTTTGACAGAAAAAAAAGTTTCATTTTTGTG